GACAGATATGGTATATGCATGGATACATTGGTCCAAGCTGGACAAATGTAAGTGTGTACAAAATATATATACCTGGAATTCATCCTTAAACATAGGGAGCGGGTGGTTTGGAAAATCTGTATCATAATATTTATTTATTTGAAGAAATGCTTTTTATTATTTTTGCTTTATGAGGAGTTTATTTATTTTTCTTTTACCACACTAACTTTTGTCAGTGTGTAAAGACAGGTCTATAGCTAATAACAGCTTAGTATGGAGTATTGCTCTCCCATTTCCTTTAACCGTCAATCTATTACACTTGTGAGCTGTTCCTACTGTGAGGCAGCACTGCATATTTTCCATCACAACGAGGCTCCTGCACGCTCCCCAGCAGGAATCTCATTTTCTCTATAATACAGGTCAGGTTTCTCTTAATATGTTGGCCAGATTTCCACAATATTATCAAAAGGCTTATTTTTTCCAATATGTGTAGCCATTTAACACAGCTGTAGCTTGTTTAACAATTTCGAGCACTTACAGTGACTGTAAACTTAGACTGATCAGTAATTCACTGCACCGCATGGAATGGGGTCATTTGTTTTCCTACTTTAAATCGTGGAAGCCCATGAGATCAGTTCAGCTAAATAGCCACTATAACTGTACGAAGTAGAGAGTCAGGAAACAAAGCTTGTGTTATATGATTTGGACATCTAACCTTATAAGTGAAAGTTCTGTATATAATGCAAAATTCCAACTTAGACATATTCAGGAAATTTGGGAGCACTAACCACTGCTCTTACCTTAGAGGAGTTATCATTGCAATGTTTACCAGGCAGATATTAAAAAAATACTAAATAATCCAGTTATGCAGCGTTAAAAATTATTTTTAAAAATTATTAAATGTATTTTAAATAAAACTGATATAAGTGAATTTGGTTTGTTGGTAGACGTTTGTCCCTGACCCCTGCATGGCAGCAATCAGACTGGCAGTGGAAGGGGCAGCACTAGGAGCTAGTCAGAGTTGCTGCATGCACATGTGCTAAAAAAAAAAAAAAACATGTTGAGAGAGAAGAGGGATGAGCTTGTCAGTCTGTTGTTGGTTCTTCATGACAGGATGTAGACAGGGAGGTAACCAGAGGTGGAGAGCCGTTTATAAAGGGTGCCTTAGAAAATGCTCTTGGTTGACCAGTGTGCCCATGAAGAGCTGTGATGTGAGCTGTCAATGGACAGCTCAGATTATAGTCATGATGTACAGCCAATCAGTGTGGAAGCACTTGAATCCATAGCCGCTATTCAATCCAATAGCAGCTTTTTCCATGTGCAGTCAATCAAAACCAAAGCAAACCTGATTGGAAAACTAGTATTGTAGTTCCCCAACATGCTCCACCCACCCAGTGACATTTATCCATTTCCCAAATATGCTTATGTGTAGAAAATATTTGTGCTTAGTGAAAAAACATATATAACTATGTGAGTGCTGCAACCACAAAAGTTTGAATACTAATGCCCCTTCATCTGATGCGCTTCTCACTTAAATGACCAAAAAGTAATATAAATTTTAGTATCAATATAAAAAAACAACAATAATGAATAACTCAGTGCCTTGTATATAATAAAGTGCAAAGTATTGTGTTATTTATATTCAGTGCACTTCAAAAAGATTGATTGTAGAAACAAAGCGCTCAAAACAACACAAATTCCAGCAGTACAAGATCTTGAATATGAATGATTGTGATTTCAACACCAAGAACCAGGACGGGGCCTAGCCGGTGACATCAAATGTATGCAAACATTGACTTTTCGGTATCTGATTACTACATGCTCTGATTTAATTATTTATTTCAGGTACTTATATAGCGCCGTCAATTTACACAGCGCTTTACATATATATATTGTACATTCACATCAGTCCCTAACCCTCAAGGGATGTACAATTTAAGGTCCCTAACTTACATTCATACATACACATACTAGGGCCAATTTGAACAGGAATCAATTCACCTACCAGCATGTCTTTGGATTTCTTCTACAATTGTGAGTATGAGTCTGCTTTTTAAAATAAAAGGACGTTTTTACAATATAACACTTTTGCGGTCCTTTTAGCTTCCCTCTCGAAGGAAATTTATACCCATAGATTAGAAGAATTTCTTTTTTGATCTGTGACCACATGGAGAGGTGGAGATAAGAGCAGGGCTGATTGAGAGCACACAAGCGTATATTGATCTTCCAGTGAGATCAATGTTTCTGGTAAGAGGCTGACTATTTGTTTGGTGGTGGAATCAGGATCATTCGATTATGGAGGGAGGCAGAAAAGCGAGCTTCCACTTTTGGGTGGAACTCCGCTTTAATCACTGTGCTGCCAACATTATATTTGCATAAATCTTCCGAAGAGCCAGCCCACTGCTTGCATCTGGGTTGCAGGCTATTAAAAAGACTACTGAGGCAATGTGATGTGATGTGATGTTTTCTGGAAGCTATGTATAGCACCTTGCTGCCCTTTTCCCCCATCAGCCATGATCAGCCTGCATTCCATAGGGGAGCACAGAGACCCAGAGATAACATCACTAGGTTAAAAATATTATACGTATTAAAAATTGAAATTTTTTATTTATTAATCTCATTATCAAGTTCATGAAGAGGGAGAAAGGATCCAGGGAAGTCAAAATATAAGTAGATTACACAACATTAACATATTTTAATTCTTAGACTATAAACAACACCGTTGGTGATGGGGACAGATAAAGAATGAAAACAGTAACAGATAGCAGTCACCTTGAGTCTAACGTGATATTTGGTTGCTATGGGTCCTTGCACTTTGCACATTACCATTGATCAGTATTGTCTTTTTGCGTTCCTTTATTTCAGTGTGAAGTAGAAGTCAGGGACGGACTATATCAGTGTACAGAATTTCAAAATACCTGTTCAAGTAATGAACACATAACTGTACTTGCTAGTTATATTTCATTATGAAGAAAATTATAAAAAATAAAGCTAAACCTTTGACACACATTTCTTTTCTCCATCTGCCTCCTAGACCTTCAAGATAAATGATTAATGATTTTTACCAGCAGCGTCTTGTCCAGCCATGACAGATCCAACAAAGGTGACCTTACTGGTAAAATACGGGACCAATTCCCCCATTGTTGTCAGTAATAAAAGAAAGAACATTTTAATGGTATACGTTTTATGGGAGAACTGCTAAAACACAGCATCAGGAAACATTTTTTCCTCCTGGAAATGTAGGTTGTAAATTCTTGCAGAGTGTATTTTTGTTAGCTGACACAGAATTACAACTGAACAGTAAGGTTTTGATTAACAGAGACCTGATGGACGTAAATATATATGTCCTTGTCTACAGATGTGTCTAAATGAAATCTCAACAACAAAAATATCACCTGAGGGTCCCAATATGTTTTAACAATTGTGTAGTAACATTGGTAGATTTCAGAGGCTTATCTCAAAGGTTTGTCATCCATATACCTGGAAGCTAAAAAATCTTTTCCTGTCTCTCTTGTTTTATGTAACAAACATAATTCAAAAAGAAAAGACAGACACATACACAGACAGATGGAAAGAAAATAATACTAGGATTGCTAGGATTTATATCACAGTGGCTTGGCAATGTCACTATATCATTTCCAATGTTAGACTTGCTGACTGCTGTAAGTGTTAAGGCCTCACGTTCACTGGTTTATTGTAAACGGTGTTTGTCCTGACAGGAGAAAATCGGTGTAAGGGCTCATGTACACAGGGTGTTTGGAAAACTCTTCTGACTGCTAGAAAATGTAGGTTAAAAAACATCAGTTTAGCCACATTTATGCATGTTTGCGTTTAGAAGCGTTTTTAAAAGATAACCTCAGGAGACCCTCCCAAATGCCCACAAGGCACTGTGTTGAGGTTACCTGTCTTTTCTGGTTGTATTCACTATGGATCCCATCATGAGCATAATGCAGCACGTTCTACCATTTTTTCCTTCACACGAAACCTGGAACTGACTGCACTTGTATACTAGGTCCCTTTGAATACATTTTGATGAAGAAAAAAGGCTCTGGACATCATCTGGATATGGACCTGTCAAAAAAGTGTCTAAACATAAACGCTTGTAAATGCGGTTAACCGTGTTTAGACGTGTTTACAAGCGTTTGGCATTTGAAACGCTGGTAAAATCTACTCCTGAACGCAATTTTGGTGCGTTCAAGAAAACGACTGTAAACTCAACTGCCTGTAAACAACTATGTATACATGGAAACATAGGAAAACGTAAAGGAGAGTTCAGGGGCTGCTGAAAAAAAATGCTCAACAGCTCCTGAACGTCCCTTAGGCCTCGTGTACACTGCTGCTCTTAAACGTGAGTTTAGGAGCTTTTGACATTTTTTTTGCCAAAGCCCCTGAACTCAACTCAATAAAAGCCTGTGTGTCCATGTACACAGGCTTTTACCAGAGTTTAGGAGCAGCAGAGTTTAGGGGAAGTTAAACGTTCCTCTTCTGAATGCAGAATAATCGTGTTCAGGAGAGGAACGTTTTGGCCAAAAACCGCTAAACGTGGCAAAAAAGCATGTAAACGCAGCTAAACATTAGCCGTGTTTAACGCTAGGGCGTTTATCCATGTCAATGGAAAATACTCTGGCCAATCAAATAAATAAACATCCGAGCACAAAAAGTGGCTAAACGGGTAAACGCAGTACCGCATTTATATGTGTTTTTGCCACATTCAGCCTTTTTTGTGTTCATGAGGCCTTAAAAACTCACCTAAGATGCATTTTTTTAAACCAGTTTACGTGAGTTTAGTAAAGTGTAGCAGCATTTGGTGTTTGGGATTTTATTTATTTATTTTTTTTCTGGGCATTGAAATTAATACATGCTAAATGTACTTAGTGTTTAGGTGCGTTTAGACCTATTTATGCGCATTTAGGAGCGTTTTGCATTTTGGCCTCATGTACACTGCTGCTCCTAAACATGAGTTTAGGAGATTTTGGTGTTTTCTTGCCAAAGCCCCTGAACTCAACTCAATAAGCCCTGGTTCACATATATGCGGCCATGCGGGACGTGTTTTGCAGGGCCATGAGAGCTTATTCATTTGAATGGACTCCCATGCCCCGTGACACGCACGGTGGAAGTCCCTGCGCTTCTTCTGAAAACGCAGCCCACGCGGGAACCTCGGTTCCCAGTACGGTTGCGTTTTCCAGTGCGGGCGGCGTGCCATTAGAACTAATGGCACCTGCGCACAGGTCCACATTCCTCTGCGCAGGTGGTGCGGCTGTACTGATTTTTGGCACCACCTGCGCATATGTGACCCTAGCCTAAAAGCCTATGGGGTTTATTTACTAAAGCTGGAGAAAATCAGGTGCACTTCTACATAGAAACCAATCAGCTTCCAAGTTTTATTACCAAAGCTTAACTGAACACACTGAGGTTAGAAGCTGATTGGATACCATGCACATGTGCACCAGATTCTGAGTGAAGCAGTTTTAGTAAATCGCCCCCTATGTATCCATGTACACACAGGCTTTTACCAGAGTTTAAGAGCAGCAGAATTTAGAGGCAGTTAAACGTTCCTCTTCTGAATGCAGAATAATCACATTCAGGAGAGGAACATTTTGGCAAAAGAAGCTAAAAGCGACAAAAACGCATGTAAACGTGGCTAAATGCGGCTAAACGCTTGGGCATTTATCCATGTCAATGGAAAATACTCTGTCCAATCAAATGAATAAACGTCCAAGCGCTAAAGGCAGCTAAATGTGGGACTGCGTTTTTACACGCATGTTTGCCTCGTTTAGCGTTTTCCTGCTGCCAGGAGTGTTTAACAACTAGGTGAGTTCATGTGTATATGAAGCCTAAATGCTGGTAAACTCTTGTCCTGAATGCAATTTTTGTGCTTTCAGAGAAATGCCAGTAAACTCAGATGCCTGTAAACTCCTCTAAACGCTTATGTGTACATGCACCCCTAAGATAACATACAGGAGATTTCAGGGGCTTCAGAAAAAATGCCCAACTGCTCCTAAACATCAGTTTAGCAGCTGCAGCGTACATGAGACCCAAAGAAGTATCGTGGCCTCTAACCATGGTTAGTTCCAGCTAAAATAAGAAAAGGCAGTGGACAATACTGAACTTCGATGAAAAATTAAAGGGAACTGATTCCAGAAAAACGTAAAGATGGCCTTTGATTTGCAAGCCACCCATAGTGTATTTTAATGATTTCCTTCTTACCACCTTCCCTAAGGAATCTGGATTCTGATGCACACAATAAGCTAATTGTCTGACTGGAGGCCCGGACTCATTTCAACTCTATCAAAAATAATGACTCTTGTGTAAAACTCAGCCAACCTTTTAAAGCCACATCTCTTAAATAAATAGTTAATTTGTACTGCCATATGCAGTATATACACTGTTTGTATATGTTTTCCCTCATTCTCTGTTTTTCTCAAGAGAAATGCAGCACTGGAGATATTGGAAAATGCTTTTATTTAGAAACTTGAGGAAGACTGGGAATACCTAAAAGTGTTGTTTGGTTTGTTCCATATGTGCATTTTGAAATAGTTTACATGATTAAAGTGGAACTGCACTGCATCTGAGCACCGCAAAGCAAAAAAATTTTTTAATTCATTTTTAATATTCAAAGAAAACTTCCCCATCCATCCATGTCTCCATGCTTTAATTTGCTGTCAAATCACTCTGGAAAAACACCCCATAGCATTTCTAGCCATGACCACCTTGAGTAAGGGCAGATGATTCATGTAACATTTACTTCCTGGGTTCAGGCATACAAGGACGAGGGCATGCTTGGCTGAGAAAACTCATCCTCCCCTGCTGAATATTCCTGGGATGTATGACATAATTTGCCTAGGCAAGAAACAAGGAAGTAACTGAAGAAACATTTTAAAAAGTTTAAAACAAGTAAATATGATATACATTCCCATCTAGTAGCATTGTTAGTCTGGGGGGGAGGATATGTTAGATGCACTACCAGATTTAGATACGCTAACAAATTGAAGCCAAAATCCAGCTCACACTGCAGTTACACAAGCAGATGCAACAGTTTTTTTGGGGGGGGATAAATGTTTTACATATATATAAATAAAATCTGATCATTGTAAGCACCCCTGTTAGTCAAAAAACTAAGTAGAGACTTGACACTTTAAGCGTTCAAATGGTAGAGGCCCCCATCTTATTGGCAGGGTGAAGCCAAGGTTAAACAGCCCAAACAGAAAAAGTAGGCGGTGCAGCCCTCCTCGAATTGGGGAAATCTAGTACTACAACAATAAAAGCAGAAAAGGCGCAAACACTTTGTGCATTATCATTGGGCACTTTAATAATGGAGAATAGGTGAATGCACTTCATGCTTGTTTACATGCCTTTTGCCTACTGGGCTTGTGAGTATGATTTTATTATTTTCTCCAACTAGCAACATCATCTCAAGTGGAGGACCATACATTACAGAGGAGCACTGATCCGTACATCAGATTGGTGAGAGCCTGCGGCCACACTTTATGCAAAAGCTGCACTACATTTTCTTATTCCTAGATCCGGCCCCAAGGTCATTGGCTCCACTACATTGTAAGGGCCATGCTTTATTTATATCCTGCAGTAGGCTACAAGCTACCACTCTGGTGTCTACTATGACTGTCTATAACATGGTGGGTAACATTGTTACATGCAACTAGGGCATTGGCTGCACATGGACACACATTGGTGAAACCACTTTACAGCTGACTCTTGACTATCACGCCCACCATCTGGGCTCTTTCAGCTTGCTCTGTCTACGCAGTTATCCTGTTAGTCAACCATTCCACATGGATAGGGCCGCCAATTCCTATTTGATGTCCTGCTGCTATGAATGGACTTTATCTTGCTAATTATGCTGTATACGGCTACATAGTGGCAAAGGAATTTTACTCATTTTAGATTTGGGGTGCACATGCTATATGTTATATGATACCATTGCTGACACACCAGGACCGGGCCATCATTCTCCGGCTGGAGTCACTCCACCACTCTTTGAGTGATAGTGGATTGGTTGGCTCGACCAGACAGCCTTCTGTTTATCAGTCTATACTGACTGCCTGTTCCTGAGACTGATGGCCTGTTATGCAAGTGTACAATCCCAACGCACACGTTCCTGCTTTAAAAATGAGTGTGTATAAGTGGGTGCTGCAGCAACCATCGACTGGAACTGAACAGAATCAGCAAGGGAGAATGTCACCAGCACACAGAGGATCACCATTATGGGTCCAAATGTTTTAATGAACAATCACATAGTTACAGCAAGGCAACATTTCAGAGTCTCGCAGGACCCCTTCATCAGGTATGTGACCATCACATGCCTGATGAAGGGGTCCTGTGAGACTCCGAAACGTTGCCTTGCTGTAACTATGTGATCGTTCATTAAAACTTTTGGACCCATATTAGTGATACTCAGTGTGATGGCCTGTTATGTTACATTCATTATGAGATCCAGGGAATGTATGAAAGCGCGTATGAGTGGGTGAGTGGAGCCCGGGCTTGCATTTTAAAGTGATAACATTATCTAACCTTATTTTAATGGTGATAGGAGGATTGTTGACTATTTGGCCTCATTTTGTATAATTTTGATCTCAATAAAGTTGTATGGTTTGGTTACACCGTGGTTGGTTCTCCTTTAAGCCTCTTTTAAGGGTGCCCCTTTGGTCCCCAACACATTTTCTATCCAATATTTCTAGGGTTCCTCTGTGTTGAAAAGGTGGAAAAATGTAGTTCTACAGTTAAAAAGATTCATAAAACCCTTTTCAGCACTATTTAGAAAATAGCTAACAATAAAGCAAGGGCAAGTTGTCCAACTGCAGACTAAAGGGTATACTCTGCAGCTTCCCACTAATTATATCATGATTATTCCATTTTCCAAATGTATTCCTATTGTAGAATATGCTGGTGCTTTATAAATAAAAGATGATGATAGTGGCAACCTGGAAAATATCCTTTCATCCCGCATCAAGCAATAACGTGTGCTTAATCTCTGTTATTAGAAATAACACCTTAGATAAACAAGAGATACATAGGGTACACCTGTTCATACATTTCGCACTTTGCTGTGCATAGGATTATTAAAATCTGTTGACTGTTGACTTTAGACGTACAATTACCTTGTAAGTAGAATCAATTTATAGAACTGGGCTAGTCATTGGCTGCTCAGTTACTGCACATTCACAGCTTTTCCTCAATAAATTGAAATAAGCAGCACATAAAAAGTATAATTTTAAAGGGAAAATGGAGATGAAAACTAATGTAATACAAATAAAAGAATCTAGGTATGAGTTCACATTGTTTTCATTGCGTAGTCATTAAAGGATGGCAGATGGCCAGAAAAGCACTCAGTATTTTCAGTGTTATGCATCTGCCCAGCGCTTATTTGTGTAATGCTGCCTTTGTCTGAAAAAGAAATCAATGTGTGGTTATCAGACACCAGTGGTCTACTTGCTGAAGACTGGCACAAAATGCTGTTCTTCAAATAAGTGTTTATTTGTCATAAATCCAATGCTCTTGCCATAGGGAGCTAGGGGCAAAATAATGTATATCGTTAGGAGCTCAATTTTGGGAAATCTACTTATTTCAAGCGGGTGATAACAGTTGGGGACTTTTCCGATAAATAATGACTCATAAACTGAGAGTAACTTTTGCGTTGATCAAAAAAGGAAATGTGGTTCTTTTATCATACAAATATATTGCAGCTTTCACTGTTTTAAATGGAAGAACTCATTTTACAGCCCTCCCATCCTAGAATGACTAACCACTAAGATCCAATACTGACCTCTTTTGTCTGCCTCCTCCGCAATTTGGACTTAAGTCAGTATCAAAGGAACAATACATGCTTGCCAACTGCCCCTGAATTCCAGGGAGTCTCAATTTTTGAGCATTTGTCTCTGAAAGTTTTTGGCCGTGTAAAAGTCCATGGTTACCAGGACTTATTAAATATACTCCAAAATTCATGTTTTACTACAATCTTGATTAACTTTTTATCATCAATTAAAACAAGGCACTAACTGGATAACAAACAAAACCCACACAAGCTGCCAGCTCAACAAGTAGATAGCCACTTTTGTATATTAAAGAAAGTTCTTTCAAACCATATATTCACCTCCAAACTGATGGTCCTGCAATATTGTGTCTGCATCATCTTCATAAAATCAAATGTTCACATGAGAACCTCTTCCTTGTATATGTTACCAGCTATCCTAACAGTCCTAGTGGTTTACCAGGCATATGGGGTGGATATGTAAGATGGACAGCTATCATGCAAATATATGGATCTGTTGCCCTCTACTGTCTGTATTTGTAAATA